GGTTAAACTCCACAAGAAGAAAACATCCAACCCCATCCAAAAATGGGGCAATGAAATGAACAGAAACTTTCTCAAAGAAGAAATTCGAATGGCAAAAAAACACATGAGAAAATGCTCTACATCATTAATCATCAGGGAGATGCAGATCAAAACCACAATGAGATACCATCTCACACCTCAGAGACTGGCCCACATTCAAAAGAACAAAAGCAACCGATGCTGGCGTGGATGTGGCGAGAAAGGGACACTCCTTCACTGTTGGTGGGAATGTCCACTGGTTCAGCCCTTCTGGAAAACAGTATGGACGATTCTCCAAAAATTAGAAACTGAGCTCCCATTTGACCCAGCAATACCACTCCTGGGAATATATCCCAGAGAGGCAAAAATGTATAGTCGAAGTGACATCTGCACTTGTTTGTTCATTGCAGCACTCTTTACAATAGCCAGAAACTGGAAGAAACCTGAATGCCCAAGAACAGATGACTGGTTAAAGAAACTTTGGTACATCTACACAATGGAGTACTAGGTAGCTCTTAGAAAAGATGAAGTCATGAAATTTACATACAAGTGGTACAATATGGAAAGTATCATGCTAAGCGAAATGAGTCAGAAAGAGAGGGATAGACATAGAAAGATTGCATTCATCTGGGGGATATAAAGTAACAAAGTATGAGATTAATACCCAAGAATAGCTGAGATCAGCACCAGGAGGATTACTCCATAACTTAGAGGCCAGCCGGGTATCCTAGAGGAAAAGGCAGTTCAGATAGAGAAGGGAGCACCAAATAAAGGATGTTTGGAGGATCCTCCCAGGAGGGGAGATGCATGTCGAAAGTAGACTATGGACTGAACATGTTTGCCACTCAATGCCTCTTTTGCAGACCACAACACCCAAAAGGAGAGAGAGAACAAAAGGGAATGCCCTGCCACAGAGGCAGGGTGGGATGGGGGGGTGGGGGGTGGGAGGGACACTGGGACCCATGATGGTGGGAAATGGGCACTGGTGGAGGCATGGGTATTGGATCATTGTATAATCAAAACCCAAGCACAAAAAATTGTAAGTCTACAACTGTACCTCAGGGTGTTTCACTAATAAAAATTTTAAAAAAACAACAAAAACACAAAGCCCAGAGGAGAGAGAAGAGAGATAATGTAACCTTGGCAGCTGACAGCTGACTTATCTCTAGAAGTGACCTTCCCCACTATTGTGGCTTTGCAGAAGCCACGAGGATCCTTTCCTTATCTTCCACTTGCTCTTCCTTGAAGTGAAAGTTTTTCCCAGTCGTCCTTGGCCCAGACTTGAGCTCACACTGCTCTGGGGTCAGCGGGCTGCGGGCGTTCTGAGAGACAGATTCTGATTCAGCAGCTACTTAAAAACCCTCCATTGTGAAGACTCAGGCACCCATAGTACCAAGAGGATATGAAGGAACTTGTGGAAAGGTGCCCTGGAGCGCTCACAAACCAGACCTGAGTGATTGCACACAAAGGGATGAAAGAAAAGAAAGCCCCCCTCTTTTTTTTTTTTTTTTTGCTTTTTGGGTCATACCCGGCGATGCACACTTGGGTCACACCTGGCTCATGCACTCAGGAATTACTCCTCACGGTGCTTGGGGGACCATAGGGATGCTGGGAATTGAACCTGGGTCGGCTGCGTGCAAGGCAAACGCCCTACCCACAGTGCTATTGCTCTAGCCCCCCAGTTTTTAAAAATTATTATTATTTTTCTCCCAATTTTATTTCATTTTTTATAAAATAGTAAATTGTAACACTAATCCCACCACCATAACAGCTTCCCACCAACATTATTTTAAGTTTTCCCCCCATCCCTTAAGCCTGTCCCAAAAGCAGGTCCTAAATAATTTAGTTTGTATTGCTTTTTACAAATAAGGCATTAAAAATGATCCCAAAAGTTTTCTTAAAAGAAAATGTGTGAAGATTGTTGTATGTCATCCTAGATTCATTAAGCCCTTATATCCCTTGTATAAGAGATTACTATCATGCTGTTACACGTTGAGCCTTGTGTGCTAGCGGGTAGGGCGTTTGCCTTACAAGCGGTCAACATGGCCGAACCGAGTTCGATTCCTCCACCCCTCTCGGAGAGCCCGGCAAGCTACTGAGAGTATTCGATATGCCAAACACAGTAACAACAAAGTCTCCAATGGAGACGTTACTGGGCCCGCTCGAGCAAATCGAGCAATTTTTGGATTGATATCGGCTGCCTTCTACCTTACCCCCTTCAATTGTGGTGTGCTACTCTTGGTAGATCTGTAGACGTAGAGTAGAGTATAAAACCTCATGCAGCTACGAATATGGCCGTGTGCTCCAGGGGTTGTAAAAATTTCAATTGGGTGATACAACTGGAGACCACTTTGGGATCGGGAAGCATCTCTGCAGCTTGTGGCTCTCCTGCGAGATTTATTTGTGAGTCTCTGGATCATGGCTTATATGGCGTTAACAAGCTTATATGGCGTTGGAGGCGGTTTGTGGGTGTGGCTGCCAGGCTCCGGGTATGGCAGGTCAGAGCCCCATTGGCTCCTGACCAGGAGCAGGTGTGCACCGATTGGATAGTTACACGTTGCCAAGCTGGTGGTCACCGCTTCCTGAAGGGGAGTTCGGCAGTCATCTCCCAGACACCACCCCGCATGGGCGCCAGTTGCGGGGAGCCCCACTAACCACTCTCCGGCCCGCAGAGGTGGCCCTAGGATCCGTAGGTGCAGGGAAGGACCGACCGAATGAACACAAGACACAAGAGACAGAGTGCAGTTTAGAAACAGAGAGAAAAAGGGACAGAACTTTATTGAGGGCTACAGGCTGTTTATATAGGGTCTGGGGCAGCCCAGTCAGAGCAGAAGCAATATAACCATACATGGTAAGGTCAGCCACAGGGGCTTTACCTAGCATTCAAGGTAGACATTTGTACATCAAAGGGTCTTGTGGCAGTAGCTGCATCCTGAGCTTTACATTTGTATATCAAAGGGTCTTAGGGCAGTGGATGCATCCTGGAGGTTATTATAGATAAGGTCAGATAAGATAACTGTCAGCCTGATGTATGTGGCTATAGATCAGGTCTCTGCTGAGGGCTGAGGTTAGGAAGTCCTGGGAGACTGTCACCAACGTCCCTAACATGGGAACCACGGCCAGGGTCTATGAGAGGGCTCTTGGCTTCCCACAGTCCTTGCCCCCGCCTCTGCTTTGTGGCATGAGGACTTTGTTGGGAGCCTGGTCCAGGCCCTGCTCTGGCTCCCGGCCAGCCTGTACTGTGTTCTTGTCGGCTGAGGGAGACACATCAGCCTCAGTCCTACCCCACGAGCTCCATCTGAGGGCCCATTGATCATCGCTCCCGTTACTCTTCTTCCCCACACAGCCTCCTGCCATAGGAGCATCTCTTCCATTTCACCTTGGAGGTGAGGTTCCGCCCCTGAGTACCAGCTGTGGCAGGTGTGTCTGAGGTTGCTTCCGCCCCCTGGGTACCAGCGGTGGCAGGTGTGTGTCTGGGGGCTGGGGGCCTCTGAGTATGTGAGTGGGCCACCGAGGCTTGGTTGTAGGCAGTTTCCAAGCACAGCTGCTCCTGGCTCTGCACTCAGGGATCACTCCTGGCCCATAGCGGGGGCCGGGGATCCAACGCTGGGTGGCCACATGCAAGGCCCGTGCCCTACCCCCTGCACTGACGCTCCAAGGGGGAAAATGGGAGAGTCGAGTGGCCGGTCACATCTGTGTCGGCATGTCTGTGAACGACAGAGAAGCCTGGATTGTCCCCGAATGCCTTTGCAATGGTTGTTTTTAGGGTCTCTTGGGCAGAAGGGCCTGTGCTCAGGAAACTAGCCTGGCGTGCTGGGAGCTCCGAGAACTGGGAAAGGAGAGAGACGGCCACCTCCTGCTGTGCCCGTCTTCCCAGCGTGCCATTGGCACACACACACCCTCTGATGGGGGCGCACGAAGCTGCTTCTGACACGTGGTGTTGGGCAGTGAGCGGTGATCTTGGGGTCTGCGGAGTCTGGCGGGATGGTGGGATGCAGCCTTTCGGCCCCCAGCCCGGCTTTGTTCGTGCCTGGTCCCCCTTTGCAGCAGAGCCCTGGGAGTGTGGGGGCGCAGTCCCAGCCCAGCACCTCTCGTCTGCATGAGCTCCCAGCACCCTGGGATGCAGTCTTGGGGGTCCCGGATTTCCCACACTGGCAATGTGGACATTGAAGCGGGGGAGGCGTCTCTTATCCAGCGCCAGGAGGGTATGTTTGCAGTGCCCCGTGCGTGGCTTGGGACCAGGGGCTCAGGGATGCGTTTTTCCTTCACCTGCGTTTTCTGCTCTCTGTCCGGGTCCTGGCTGTGGCCTCTCTGCTTTCTCTCTGCCTGGCCCCCAGTCCTGTGCTCCGGTTCTATTCACAGGCAGACAGGAAGAATCGCTTGGTGATAAAGAGGGTGTCTGGGGATGGAGTTGAAAATGCCTCTGAAAATCCCCCGCCCAGCACAGCCTTTGATCTCTCGGTTTTCTGAATACGTTCCCCGGGACTTATTGTGTTGCATGGTGATCTTGCTTGCACAGGAGCAGGGAACCTGTGACTCCCATCCTCTGCCTCGCACTCCCAGGAAACACATGTCTGCGCGCACTCCAGGCTCTGTCGTTGGCTCCTGGAGGCCTCTGGGTGGGGAGGATCCTTTAACGTCTGCATTGTGCCAGGTCTTGTCCTGGGTGCTGAGACTTGAAGATGGTCCGGCGGCCGCTCAGCGGAGGGCGGTTGGGGGTGTCCTCCTGGGCATGGGGGCTGAGTGGCCGCCAATGTGTCTTCTCTCTCTGTGATCCCTCCTTCCCACAAGCCAGTGAGGGCCAGGTGGCCTCAGCTGGAAGGGACAAGCATGAAAAATGGGCTGTTGGGGCACGTTCTGCACTTGGCCCTGTCTCCCGTGGGCGTGCCGTGAGCTGGGCGGGCTCTGGGCGCGCGTGGCTGGCTGACCTCATTGTGTCCTTTGAGAAACTGACCCGGTCTCCCATATGCTCTGCCTTTCAGTCATCTGTCACCTCCCCTGCATGAATGGCGGCCAGTGTACTTCCAGGGACAAGTGCCAGTGCTCTCCCGACTTCACGGGCAAGCTCTGCCAGATCCCAGTGCACGGCGCCCGCGTGCCCAAGCGGTACCCGCACGCCCAGCCAGCCAGCAAGGCGCTGGGCACGCACGTCGTCCACTCCACGCACACTTTGCCTCTTACCATGACCAGCCAGCAAGGAGTCAAAGGTAAGCCAGCAGAGCCGCTGCCCCGGGTGTGGTGGCACTGCTTCCTGGGTCAAAGGGCGTTGGCTCCTAGGGAAGGGAGCCCAGAGAAAGGAATCTCTCTGTCCCGCTTGGAGCCGGCCCGGGGGCCTGGTGCTATTCTGGGCGTGCCTGCAATCGAGAGGGCACGGAGCGGGGTGCTGGCCTGGCCCGAGCTGAGGAGTGAGGGCACCTGCAAGGCTTGGCGAGGACAATTTGTAGGGCTTGGTTTTCCAGCCCCGTGGTTCCTCCATTTCTCTATCTGGACAGGGAGTGAGTGGGGCCACTAGGAACTCAGGAGTTCTGTCCCGGATTCATTCTTTTAAACCTGAAATCTCTTCTACATGCGCAAATTGCTTTTTTTTTTATTCCAAAAAAAAAGGCACAAAGAAGCAGCTGTTATTCTTTAGCCCTTGAATGTCAGTGGCAGCCAGTGACGTTTCATGGGCAACCCCGCGAGAAGTAAAGCTCTGCTCGGTACGCACAGTGCTGGGGCAGGTGATGGGTGTCCCGGGACACCCCAGAGACACACAGAGAAACGTGTGCTGGGTTTCAGACCCACAGGATTACGCTCTGGGGAACGGCTGGTCTCCTTCTGAAGCTGGAACGCAAACCCTGCAGCTTCTGTGATTGATGCAGGGCGAGGAATTCCAGAGTGGCCCAACTCTTGAGAAGGAGAATTTGCTAAGGCACACCCGGCTCTGATCGCCAGAAGCTGCATTTCCTAGTCTTTTTGCTCCCCCAGGAAGGAAAAAAAAAAAGCATCTCTGTCTTCTGCACATGCTTTCGTGAAGAGCTTCCATTTCCTCTTCTGAGGGCCTCTTTAGTCTTCAAGCTGTTGAGACTCAGACGAGTGATTTGGGGTGTGCCCTTTCCAAGAGTCGTACCGACTGTTGCAAAACAGTAGATGTGAGTGTGAAAATGACATAAGATGGCATGCTCTATTCTGTATGTATGACCTGCTCTGGACACTGCACATGTAGGAATACACTGCACATGCACGAGATGCAGCCGACGCGTGTAGAATGTAGGATGTTCTGTGACTGCAGGCAGGGATGCGGAGTATGGAAGCAACCCTCTGCGGGTGGGTGTGGTGGATGGCAGATGGCATGGCGGTCTCGCTGCCGCCCATGCGCGTGATTCATGACCTCCGTCTCCCGCTCGTTGCAGTGAAATTTCCTCCCAACATAGTCAACATCCACGTGAAGCACCCTCCCGAGGCGTCCGTGCAGTTCCATCAGGTGTCGCGGATCGACGGCTCCACGGGCCAGAAGGTGAAAGACCCTGCCCAGCCCAGCCAGGCCCAGGTCTCCTACCCGGGGTTGCCAGTGCAGAAGACTCAGGCGGTGCATTCCACGTACTCCCACCAGCAGGTGGTTCCCCGCGTCTACCCCGTGGCCGCCAAGACGCAGCTGGGCCGCTGCTTCCAGGAAACCGTGGGTGCCCAGGTGAGCTGTGTTGTCTCCTCCCCCAGGTAGCAACTGAATCAGACAGACGGAGGGAGTGAGGTGGCGGTCCCCTCGAGGGGCAGGGCCCGATGCTGCCAGCGCCTGCTCTGGCCCGGAGTGTTCTTGCCTGTGGCTTCTCCTGCTGGCCGCGCATTCTCTGTGCCGGAGTGTCTGCATGAGAGGGCCCTCTGCCCAGCCTAAAGGGTGCATGCAGCTCTCCACCTGGGAAAATTTGCTCCATGCATGCCGCGAAGCTCTGCGGGTGTTAAGGGATGCTTCCAGGGGAGCCAGAGTCAAACGGGAAAACCAGAGACTGCCCATGTCGTGTCGTTTCAATACGGCAAGGAAAGCTCAACCCCCTGATGGTCTTTGCCTGGGATGATCTGAGGTGCCAGTGACAGGGACCTTTTCCTTCTTTTAACAGAAGGCCAGGTATCAGCAAATGCTTCTTGGAGAGGAAGCATCATTGGTTTGAATTTAGGCTAGAAGTAAAGACAGGGTTTTGTGTGTGACGAGCGAGTTTTGACAGGCCTGGGTGGGGGGAGGTGAAGTTAAGTTCTGTGGATCTGACGCTGCTGCTCTCACCCACTGACCCTGGGGAGGGAGGATCAGTTTGGTGCCACTGCTTTGATGGGTGTTTCCAGTTGCAGTAGGTCCCAGAGAAAGGGAAGAGCAGATCCTTTCAAAACCTGTGCCCAGAATCTTTCTCCTTAATTTCCAAGTTGGAACACAGATGATGATGATGATAATAATAATAATAAAGGCCCTCCCGTTGATCGTCGATTTGCTCGAGCGGGCCCAGTAACGTCTCCATTGGAGACTTTGTTGTTACTGTGTCTGGCATATCGAATACTCTCGGTAACTGGCCGGGCTCTCCGAGAGGGGCGGAGGAATCGAACTCGGGTCGGCCATGTTGGCCGCTTGTAAGGCGAACGCCCTACCCGCTGTGCTATCGCTCCAGCCCTAATAATAATAATAATAAGAAGAAGGAAATGAAGTCATAGAAAATGAATTATGCTTGTAAAATAGCAGGCAGAGGATTGCTAGCTAGAAAGACTAAAAACAAACAATTTACTTTTAAGCCTAAGAGAGACTATACAACTAAAAGGAATTGGATAATTGGATGATCAGTTGATCAGTAGAGTTACCCAGATACTCACAACTCGAGGAGTATTCTGGTCTTATGTGGATAATTTTCTGGCTTATGTTCTGAGTGATCCAGCATTGTGCTAATGCCTGTTGCGTTTTGCCTGGACAGCCACTAATATAGTTCCAAAGTAAGACTTGCTTGCAGAAAATATTATTAGATTAGATCTGGCCTCTTAGATTGGCGAGAAACATGGATGTAGGTCTGTGATCGCCCAATTAACTAACACAATTAGGATGATCCGACATTTTTAAAAGGACACAACTGGGCCTGGGAGACAGCTCAGAAGGCTGGAGTGTGTGCAGGAGACCCAGGTTTGATCCTTAGCACTGCGTGATCCTTGGATCACTGACAGGAGTGACCTCTGAGCGTTGATCCAAGAGTAACTCCCGAGTAACTGGGTATGGCCTCCAAACACAAATTCAAAAGCAAACAAAAAACCCAAAATAGGCACTGTCAAATAGTTAGAGCATCTCAACTGTGTTCTGTAAAGGCTGGAGAGATAATACAGAGGACCAGACACTTCCATGCAGCTGATCCAGGACAGATCGAATCCTTATGTTCCCCTCCCTGCCGCCAAAGCCCTGAGTGCAGAGTAGGGCCCCGAGCTCTGCCAGGTGTGGCTCTCAAATAAACAAAAAGTATCCCCTAGAAATGAGAGTATTCGATATGCCAGACACAGTAACAACAAAGTCTCCAATGGAGACGTTACTGGGCCCGCTCGAGCAAATCGACAATCAACAGGAGGGCCTTTACCTTTACCTTTACCTTAGAAATATTTGAAAGTAATTATACTTTCTCGCTATCATGGCTTGCACGTATATCTACAGGAGCAGAGGTACTCAGACAAGAACAACTACATAAATACTTGCCATTGCTTTGCTTGGAGTTCAATGTCACCGTAGGTTTCAACTATTGAGATTTTAGTGCCCTGGAGTTATCAATAAATGCCTCTTTGCGTATTGTCCTGAGAGGCCATATGTGAAGTCATTTGGGCAGAAATCATTCTGTTATATTCTGATAACTAGGCCACGGACGATGTGAGGGGCGGGGAGGAGGCTGGAAAGACTAATATGAACCATCATCCATTTACATTCAGGAAAACTCCCCAGGGGTGGAATTTCAAGAACTGCTTGGGTGGAGGAAAAACAGTGAGGGGTCAGGAAACCAGACTCAGGGGACAAAGGGGACGGTGACTTAACAAGCGGACGCCAGCACTGCAGTTGGTGTTCATTGAGCGTGTCCAGGGGAGAGCCACGGATGGTATGTGCCAGAGTCAGGACGTTGAGCGGGAAGGTTAGAAGGTTAGATAGGGAAGGTTAGAAGAAACCGTTTTTAGAGAGAAAGGGGGCAAGGGCTCACGTTCCCATGACTTGAAAAGAAAGTATACAATTTTCTGCGGAATATGATCACTGCAACTCTAAGATCGCTACTGATTTTCTAAAGGTGATTTGAAGTTTCATCTTGGGAATGCGTGGGCTGGGTGGGTGTGGATGGCAGTTGGGAGGGGACTGGAAAAGCAATCACTCCCGTCCCTGCTGTGAAGTAACCTGTCCCATCCATGAGGCCATCACTGTATCACTGTCATCCCACTGATCGTCGAATGACTCGAGCGGGCACCAGTAACGTCTCTGTTCCTCCCAGCCCTGAGATTTTAGCAGCCTCTTCTTATTCCTCTCTTCCCAACGATTGGAGGCTCTTTGAGGGGAATGAGACCTGTTGTAGTTATTGTACTTGGCATCTCAAATACGCCACGGGGAGTTTGCTAGGCTCTGTCCATGCAGGATACTCTCAGTAGCTTGCTGGGCTCTCCATGAGGCCATGTTGAAAGAAAAACAGTGGGTGCAGGAGCTTTGTGGAGAATCCAGCCTCAGGATTTGATGAAGAACTACTGTGACGGCGTCAGGGAGAGAGCACCCGTGTTTCGAGTCCCAGCATTGAGGACCCCACCCCCACCCCAAACAGTGCTGGGAGTTCTCCCCAACCACCATCGGATGCGGCCGCCAAACCAATCAAGCAACAAGCAACAGAAGCAACTCGTGCAAAGTAAAGGATGTTGTTGACGTGGAGATCTGTGTGTTTCTTGCTTCAGAGGTCAGATGGGTCTGATTTCCGGACTCTCGGGGCTGGACAAATGGGACAGGGATTATGGTGCTTGTCTTGAATGATTCCTGGGACTGCTTATGGTCCCTGAAGGATTGCTAGGGGTCACTGTTGAGCACAGTGCCATGAATAGTCCCTGGTCACCACCAGGTGGGGGCCCACCCGGCCCCCAACCCCTAAGTTACAAGAAATCAGGTAAGTGCTCACGTTGGTGACCTCCCTGCAGGGCAGGGAGATTAGGAGGTGAAGGCAGAGTAGCTGTTCCTCTTGGTTTAAGCTGTCCCATCCTTGACTCGAGTCACGGCCCCTTAAACACCCATCAGGGATTTCCTTCCTATTCTAGAGATGGAGAGAAAGATGGCGGCCCGGAGATGCAGAGTCTAGTGAGTACAGATGGAGTGTTGGCAGGTAAATTCATGAGAACAAATACATTTTTCTGGCTTGTATGGCAAAGGAAAAGTGTAGAAATGTGAAATGTTTTTTGTTTTTTCCCTTCAGAGAGTCTCAGATATGGGATGAAGTCGGGGTTGGTGGGGAGATTGGAGAGAATTTAGAAAGGGACATGGCATTTTCCAGATGCTCGAAAGTAATTTATTGTTCTTAAGATCTTTTATAGCATTGGTGGTGGAGAGATAGTACAGTGGGTAAGGTGCTTGTATGTGGCCAACTTGGGTTCAATCCCTGGCATCCCATATGGTTCCCTGAGACCTGCCAGGAATGATTCCTGGATGCAGAGCCAGGAGTAACTCCTGAGCACCGCCAGGTGTGGCCCAAAACAGAGAGGGGAGGGAGGGGGAGAAGAGAGAGAGGGAGAAGGAGGGAGAGAGAAAGAGAGAGAGGGAGAGAGAGAGGGATGGAAAAGGAGGGATGGAGAGGGAGAGGGAGAGAGAAATCTTTTATAGCATTGATCCTATGTGCATTGGGTTGAGCCAGGCTTTGTGAAAGCACTATAAGAAATGGATCAGATAATAGAACAAATGGGTGGCTCAGTGACATGGCTTTTGGCATGTCAATAAAATGTGAAGTCAATGACAAGTTATCTTTCGGCAGTGAGACATCCGTGCCACGCGGAGTAAATCATAGTACCTAGACGTGCTTGGAAAACATTGCATTGAGCTCACTCTGTTATAGATCAAGTTAGAAGTTACATTCCCACTCATTGCCAGGTACTTTAGGAAAAGTTCTTTTTAATGTGCTGAGAACTTGAACAGCTCCACGCTAATGCTCATCTCTGAGGAAAGGCCAAACTTCAGATCGTTCTCCTCCAATCTCTTTTTGTCTGACAGAGACATTGACTGGGCCCGCCCTCTCCTTTGTACAGGATGGCCTTTGTTTGAAAGTGATTCTTTTCACGGTGACCTAAATCTGAAACTTATTTGGCATCTGAGTTTTTGTTTCCAGCGGGCTTCGATGATTGCCCAATTGTTGGAAGCAAAGTCTTCCCTGGTGACCTAATGATACCAGATGGCAGGAAAGACCTTCTCTGGGAATTGTTCAGATCCCCATGGCTGGGTTCAGGGTCCAGCATCCACTCTGGCTTTGCCATGGCCTCGTTGTGCAATCTGTGTTCTTTGTTGAACACAGGATCGCGGCCCTTAATTAGATCCAGGATTGCAGGATGGGGCAGAAAATCGCAGGGTTTCCAGGCCTTGTTATTGCAAATGCCAAAAGAGCAGAGCCTTCCACCGATAAACACCTGAGTTCACGAGAAACAGCAGAGATTCTGGAAAACTTAAAGCAATGGGAGAGA